GCTCTCCACGTCTCGTTTGATTGCCCACCACCGCCCCGCCGCTAGATATTTTTGCCGACTGCTCCCTGCCCTCGACATCCTGTCCGCCCTGCTCCCAATTCTCACCACCAATTTTTGCTCTCTGCTCCCCTGCCTCCGCCGCCGCTGCTGCCGACATGGCGAGCGCACAGGATAAGCAGCCCACCTGCGAGGACTACGATTCCGACCAGAGCGAACAAGGCTACGAGTTCTCAGGCCGCTCCTCGGCCAATGCTGCAAACGTCTCCACCAAGCGCTCCCACCCCGACGACTTGAATAAAGAAAAGCCGCCCCCTCAGGAGCGCGTGCCTACCAACCTCGACCTTCGCTCCGACTCAGGGTACAGCAGCTACACCGCCGCCACCGTGAGCAGCACTAATTCTGCTCAAAGTGCCCCGTCCCAGCGCAGCCCTCCTGCTGCCCCGACCCCTACCGCCCGTCCAGAGGCACCTCAACCACCACCACCCCAACCTCAGCAACCACCACCCCCGCCGCCCTCGACAAAGACCAGACGGCCTACCCAGTCCCACTCGGAACAGTCGAGACCCAAGCTGCACTCGCGCACCACCTCGCAGTCGTCCAAGCCCCTCGTCATCAAGCAACGCCGGCCCACAATCACCCAGGACCCGCGCTCCGAACGCCTCGAGCGTGAACGCCCTACCCGTCGTGACAGCAGAGTCGAACCTGAATGCACTGATCCCAAGTGCACTACCTGCGGACCAAACGCCATTCCTCAACACGTCAAGCCCGGCATCAAGCCCACTCAGTCAGCTCGCGACATCGACCGTCTCTCTGCTGACACTCGCTCCATGCGTTCCGATCCGGCCTACTACCAGTCACCCCCTTCGCCTACCCAGGTCCGCCGACCCCCTTCTTATAGGCAAGAGGCTGCCATTGTCCAGCCTGCCGTGAACCCCCGTCGCCGTCCCTCGACGACTTCACGTCCGCGTCCAATGAGCTACGGCGAGCCCAATTCCCACTACTACGTTCAGGGCGGGCCCGCACCCTACCCGAGCCCGCCCCAGGAGCATGGCCCGCCTCCCTCCAATTCTGCGCAATGGCGTCAGATGCCGCAGTACCAGCATATGGGTGGCATGGCCCCTCCCGTAGTTCCCTACGGTGCGCCCCAAGGCTACCCAGGGGCCTATCCTTACAACCATACCCCTCCACCATACGATGGTCCACAAAGACCAAACATGCCCCCTCGTACCTCATTCAACTCCGCACGCAATGGACCTGCTCCTCTTGTTACCCAGGCCCCGCCGCGTGAACAACAGTACTCGGCAAGGTATGGCCACCCCCAGAGTGCCACCCAAGCCAGGTTTCCACCGCAATTGCAGCTCCAAGAAGGCGCCTATAAAAGCGATACCGGATCCGAGACCGGCTCATCCGAAGAAGAAGACGACGACGATTACTATGAGCAGCCTGACCCCAATGACCCTCGCAACCGACGTGCCCTCATGGCACCACCGCCACCAAAGATTGAGCAAGCAAAGCCGAAATCCAAAAGCAAGAAACAACAGCGACCCCCCATTCGTCACGCCAACACGACTCAAGTGGTTGACGAACATCCTGGTCGCCGCATGTCTTTGTCTCAGCCTCCAGCTCAGCCGCAGTCTCTGGTCATTGATGAGCATCGCAGGAAGCGTACTTCAAGGACCATTCAAGAGCCTTCCCGCCGTGCCTCGGTCAGTCGACCGGCTCCTCCTTCACGCCAGATCCAGTCCGAATACCCCAGTCACCGTGGCCAGATTGTCGTTGCCAACTCGAGCAAATCTGAACGGCGTCGTTCGGCTCAGGTCTATGAACAGGTATACGACCATCATCTCGAGGACAAGCGGGCAGCCAAAGCTGCCAAGGAAGCTCGAGCCCGTGCCCGTGAAGAAGAAGAAGCCCGAAAAGAGCAAGAACAATACGAAGCCGAGCTTGCTCATCAGAAACGTCTCAACCGAAACTCCAGACAAATCTATCAACCCCCAGGAGCGTTTGACAGCGAATATGAGTCTGAGTCTGAAGAGTCTGAAGATGATCAATTTCTGCCCGAGGCACCGGCACCACCTCCCCCTCAGGCCCGCCGCCGCCGTCCAACTGATGCGGGCAAAGGCAAGGAACGTGTCCTCGAGCACAAGACCAAGCGCATCGAGAGCGCGGCCGAAGAGTACATCAGTGCTCGCCGCGGTGCTCCTGGGCCCTTGAACGATCCTATTCACAATGCTGCACGACACTCGAGAACCATTTCCCAGCCCTCTCACTCTGGCTCTTCGGGAAGTGACAGGAGCCGAAGCAACCGCACGGCCGTCACCAACGAAAACAACGAGATTCGTCTGCGAGTCGACGCAAACGCTCCACTCAGCTTGCAGTTCAATGGCGACATGGAGGGTCGCACTCTGCGCATGATCCCGGCCGAGAACGGCATGGCTGATCTGGTCATCAGCGGAGGGCGCGACCGTGAAAGTGTCTACCACAACAGCGATAGAGGTAGCATTGCAGACGACCGAAAGGCATTGGTAACAAAGCAGCCGCGGAGACAGGCTGAAGAAATGACCGAAAACAGTTTACGCAGCTCCCACAGGAGGCGCGACAGCCAAGTAATACGAGAGCAACGCATAGAACGGAGCAGTGGCCAGCGACCTTTGCGTCAACGCGCCCACACCAGCTCCTATTACGGCGAATAGGCTTCTCCGAACCTTGAGCAGTCTGGCTTGCTGCTACGATGCACACGACCATTTTTGACAATTCTTCAGCACTGTATCCACGACTACTGGCTACTTGCCTCTTTTTTTTCACCTTTATACCAAAAGTTTCTGTTTCGTTATCCTTTTTCTAGCGGGTCGGAAACAGGTTGAAACAAAAACTTTTTGCATGAACTTGGACTGGCTTTTCTACAAGAGCCAAACTTGTTCACTAACAAAAAAGTTTTGATCGGTTGGGCTTTTGGTCGCGTTTCTCAAAACTGGTTTTGATTCCCCAACTCGCGCGCGTTTCATGTTTGGAGTGTTTTTTGGCTTGCGTTCCTTTCCCTCCGACGACTCAGTATGTTTGTCCACCATACACAGTAATATTGGTTGTTAGATTGGAACGCTCACGCAAACAAACACACCATGAACATGGCCTCGCGAGAAAAAGCGTCGCACCATTACAGATATGCGACCTCTTATTCAGCCGTGTGCTTGTTTCATCATGCTTTTTCCTTCCTTTGCTATTTTGGTAGCGTTCGCAACTTTTGTTTTTATTTTCCCCTTTCCTTTCTTCCTCTTGTTTCTCTTACTGTTTGTTGTTCTGGAATGTTTAACAGCACGCGCGCAAAAAACCCCCTTGATTAATTTTGTTTCTCTCTTCCAGCTTCGCACTATACCTGCTCTCCCCGCGGAGGTTATTCGAGCTTTTTTTCTTCCTTTACTTCTTTCATACTTCTTTTTTTCTCTGTTGTTTTGGCTGGTGGATGTAATACCCTTTCCTCATCTCATATCGTTTGTTGTGTGGCTGGATCTACGTCGCACATGGCCGGAAAGGTTGTTTCTTTTTTTCCCTTTGGCTGCTGAAAAGACGAAAGAAGAAGTTTTGAAGAAAAAGTAAAAAAGCTTAACCTATGCGTTGGCAAAGTGAAGGAATGAAGGGAGGGGAAGCTATGACGCTTTCATGACGGTTGATGATGGATGGCCCAATGGAAAAATGGATGAGCTACGTAGCGTTTTTTGAATATTTTGTTTTTCCTTCGATTGTTGCTTTTTCCTGTTCCCTTTTCTTTCCATAGCCGAGTTGACACGTTAATGGTGGACCGGAAGGTTTGTGGTACCTGTCAAGCAAACAACAGCCGACAGGTACAGATCAATCTGCTGGTCTTATCATTGACGAGAATACAAGTTGTCCTTGCTCTTGTCCTCTTCAAAACCTATTGGCTCTCCCTTGCTTTACTGTACGTGATCATGTCGTGCATAATCAAGTTGGCCGTATCGTGGCTTTACCTGCCTCCACCCCCCCCCCCCCACCTCCCGTTTATTAACTAATCAAGCAGCAGCTCTTCCGCGGAAAGAATATACACGACAACAAGCATGCATCCTTTAGGTCCGACTCTCCCATCTTTACCGCCTACTTACCAAACAAATGCCTTCCATTTACATCCAACACAAGCCGAACACAAAAAAAGAAAAAAAAAACAAGAAACATGCCGCACCTCGCCCCTCTTCACTCCCGAGCCGGAGCAAAACAAAATACTTACCTCTTCCTTCCTTCCTTCCTTTCTTTCCTTCTTTTCCCACAACCCAAGCACGTTTCTCTAGTCCTCCTCCTCCTTCCCCCCCCCCGCCCCCCGCACTTTTTTGGCTCACCCCCTATACACACATCCTGGCTGGGGCCACGAGAAAGGTAGGGACCAGAAACTTATCCTCGCGTATATCTTACAATAGCGTCAATGAGACCTTTTTAGCTACTATTTTGGGGGCCAGATGGGGGAGTATATGGATTGTCTTTTTTTTTCGCCTAGTCTATGTTACTGATGTATAGGTAGTAAGTAGTCTGGGTTTCGATCTGGGAAATCTTTATTGTTGTTGTTGTTATTGTTGGTTGAGTCGTGTGAGGGCGGGTGAGAGAGAGACTAGTTGACCGGTGTTGCTGCTTTTCTCTAACTATTTTCTTCTTTTTTTTGGTGGGTATGTAGGGTTGGGCTGTGATGACTGTTGGCGGAGAAAGGGAGTTTGGTTGTAGAGAGGGATGTAGTGTGTCTTGTTTCTCGGATAGAGGTGTCTTGATGGGGGAGGGGTGTGAGGAGAGAGGGTGTTGGATAAAGTGGTGTGAAGTGAATATGGCCCAGAAAGTTCGAGAAATTTAGGGACTAATTTAGTTTTCTTTGCTTAAGTTGTTGCGTTTGAGGGGGGCTGGATGGGTGTATCAGATATTCGTTATGCTCAAGTGTCGGATATATCCGACTACTCTGTCACCGACCATGCTTCTCCGTTATGCTACTTAAGTACTTACACCCAGCTTCAAGCATAAATATAACAAAACGGACCTCCAACCGTACTCATCGCATCCCCAATCGTAATATTCGGGTACCCCACATACTCGCCCACGGTCAATGCATCCCCTAGCGTAGCATTTTTCGCAGTCGTATCCCCTATACCACCCGCACTTCCTGCGAGAGCCCTCTCGCGGTTCTTGAGATCGAGATTCTGCCACGTCCACCACACACGATCGATCATTCCGTGGTGAGGATAAAACGCCGGATCAGCAGGACTGTTGTAGAAATCAGAGCCTGCATCTCCGCCCATTGTGTAATGTAATCTCCTGTTAGTGAGAGAACTCTAAAAATGGAGGTTTTTTCTGAAGAAACTTACGACCACCGGTATGCACGCCCATGCGGCCGTCGGCAAACGCGCCCTGGTACTCTCTCTGAAACGTCGCGATATCTGTGTAATTCTTGAGTAGTCTGACGACCTCGGCGTCGGTTGTCGCATTCGCGGCTTGCTGCGAGATATCGCGGCGGAGACACCGCGGGTTGTAGCCTAGTCTGTTGGCTTGTGGGTTCTTCGGTAGACCGCCGCCTGGAAGCTGGAGCATGGTTTGTAAAGGTCCCATGTTGATTTTGAAACTATCGATACATTGTTAGCAAGGGGGTGAGTGTTAGAATGAGAGGGATAAAGGGATATCATTGCTTACTCTTTAAATGGACCCGATGTCACACATCCACCACCTGAGCCTGGTGCTAGATGCATGTAGCAGGGCCCTGCTATGCCATCCCACGGGAAACAAGATGAGTTGCGCCCGGGGACGTAACTACCGTCGCCGGACATGCTCGAGGCGCTGCCGTCGAAGAAGGGGCCACTTTTTGGGTCGGAAGCGTAGTGTGCCCAGTTATAATAGGGGAAAGTGCCTTTATAGCCACACTCCTTTCGGATCATTTGTTCGAAGACCCAGGTAAAGTAGCGATGCCACGTTAGGAAGTTGCCTGTGCCGTGGATGTTGAGCGACTGCTGGATGTGGGTGACAACTAGGTCATCGTAGCGGCTCTTAGCACCAGGAGCGACAGAAGCTGATGTCTTTGCGGGGAGCTTGTGGAGGCAGTTGACAGCGTCGTTGAAGGCAATTCGCTCTTTGCGGGATAGTGTTGCCCTGTAATGTCAGTGACATTGCGTCTCAAGCTATAGTACCGACTCACCACTCCCTGCGAACCGACGCTTTGTCCAATGTACAAGTCCCAGGGTTTGGAATGCCATTCTCAGCTAGGTGAGTCCTCAGCTTTGCTATGCCTTCAGCAGCAAGGCGGTCGTTCTCCATGAACTTGGCGCTAGTGCTGCCGGCCAAGGCAACGCTAAGATAGGTGGAGATCTTCATTGTAGAGTTCGTCTCGATGGACAGGCGTATTCGCTACTGTGAATCTTGGAACAGAGTGCTACGATGAGCTGTGGTGAAGGGCGTGGTGTTTGATGTACTTACCATTGAGCTTTATATAGCGCAAAAAGAACTTGTGGCAAGTAGCCTAAAATACCCGATCATGGCTAGCTTCGTTGTTGGAGGGCAGATAGGCAGGATGCAGCCCATTTTGGCGAACCAGAGTCAGTGGCATCAGGCTAGCTCTGTAGGTCTGGATCCGCCTACACGATGGCAGACCAGGGGCGATATTGTTTACCGAGTGGGGCGAGTGAGGCCTAGAAAATCTTTGAGTAACATTGCTGCAAGCTGCGATAAGAGAAACTTGACCTGGCGTTTTGCGTGTAGTACGAAGAATATAGTATACAAGGCTATTGAACTTTTCCAAGTTCACCAATTGAAGACATTTCTCCCAATCCAAAACCTCGTTGTGATACGATGGGCTGGCCGGAGGAAGTTACCCCATCCTGCGACTGTGCCACGAGGATACATGCAAGTGTTGAGTGATTAATCAATGGTCGAACCATACGATAGCCGAGACCCATGTGGACGGCTCGAGAAGGATGTAGTCGTCTAGTGTGATTATACACTTACCGGGGAGCTGTCAACGGGTGAGGGACGGCACGGAAGGGACGGCATAACAAGCGTAACCGAGCATACTAACTCTATCAAGTTCAGACCATGCCATTTTGCCGGATCCCTTGCTTAACACTTGCAACGTCTAGTCAAATTGCGCTTCCCGCATTCGAACACCAACAGCTCCAAGACAAAAGACCGCGTGGCGTGAAAATCGAATCCAGTCCATGAATCCTATGCATGGGGCTTTATCCAGCCATCGACAAGGTGAAGTACAAGCGTGAGTCCCTGAATATGATCACAGCGAAGTGTCCAGGTTGGTATTAATAACAGCTCCTGGTATGTGGCACAGTCAAGCTATTCATGAGAGTCCTGTGGAGATTAGAGTAGGAGCCAGAGGAGCAGAAATACTTGGAGATTCTCTCCTTTCCCAACTCCTTGTAATGCGGCGTAGTCTTCAAGCATGCCGCTTCGAAACTGGTTGCTCACTTCGGTTCCAGTGCTACGGAATACAAGCGCGTCAAAAAAATCAGTTCCTTGCCTTCCTAGCCAAACATACGTGACGTTTCTGAACTGTACCGTACATGATTTCGAGGGGAAGAAACAGCACAAATAGATAGCGCGGGCAGCATGAGCTACGGCCTCTGACAATTCTATCCGTTTATCATCGCCTTACCGTAGAATGTCCTCCAGGCGCTTACTTGCTTATTCGATACCGCAGTATGTGTTGGCATTATTGGTCGCTTTGTTGCGCTGCTGGGTCCGCCTGAAAATCGTCAAATCGTTTGGTAGAGATGACTGGGTGATGATCAGCGCATTGGTACGTATTGCAAGTTAGGACCTGTCTCAAATCGGTGTGTTGATGGCTTGATCACAGGTACCCGCAACTGCGTGTTTCTTGTCTTACATGACCGAGATTTCGCTTGGGTTAGAAAGTCGAGTTGATTTGCTAAAAGCCAATATGTCAAACTACCATAACTTGCTCCTGGCTCGCCTCTTGCATCAGGTGTTTGTGGTAGTGGCATTAGGCCTGGTAAAAGTATCAATTTGCTTGTTCCTTCTTCGTCTAGTTATGAAGAGGTTGTACGTCCGGGCCCTCTGGGGTATCATCATATTCATGGTCGTCTTCACGATCGGTAGTGTGTTATCGATAGTGAGTAGAATCTTTTGTCGATTGTGCGATCTCGTGGCATACCGCCATCGCTCTACCATTTTCTCAATATGACTGGTATTTCAGATTCTCCAGTGTATTCCAATCTCAGCAGGATGGGACCATTCTTTGCGTCCACCGCCATTGGGTGTTGGCAACGCAAAGTGCTACAGCCTCGGCACGTTTCGTAAGATCGGACTCTTCAACGGAGGTATGAACATACCATGCGAATTGTTTTCTGAACTCATTACTGACTGTGCAGTGATTCATATTCTCTCGGACATATTGCTCGCGCTTCTGCCGACTCCCCTTATTTGGAGACTGCAAATGATCAGACGCGCCCGCTTCACGTTGATAGCAGTCCTTTCTGTTGGCATCCTTGCGGCAGTCGCAGGAATAATCAGACAAGTTAGCGTCGGCCCCCTTGACGAGTACGATGCGTATTCGATCTGGAACTTCACTGAATTGCATCTGGGTATCACCGCAGCTTCGCTGCCAGCACTCAAACCGATTTTCAAGAAGTTCTTCGAAACCATTGGTACAAATATAGCAAGAACACCAAGATATGGACCATCTAACAGTATCGTAATTTCGCCGTTTGGAAACACGGCAGCTGCAAAAGGGGGTTGGCAAATTGAAGATAACAGCGACGTTTTCATATTGTGTCCTCCGGACAACATCCGTGTGACGAGCGTAGTGCAAGTTCACCAAGGATGGTCGCGGTCGTGAATGTCAGTCGGAAGAAGCAAGCAACTACGTCTTGTGGATAGAGTAGAGTAAAGCAATCCCGGATTTTCTGTATACTTAATGAGAAATGAAAAAAGGCTGATGGCTCGCTCGAGCAGGCCAGCCAAACCAGATAGCGTTGCGAATACCGAGTCTGTAGTTACTATATGTCGACAAACTTGATGAACGCGATACAATCATGATGACTGATTATGAGATGAAAGGTAAGCAGGGAGATATAAAAAGTCGTTTGATGTATTAAGAGTTGATGTAAAACAGCCGTGAGGGCAACTGCGATCTCTATGCCGCATGCCAAGGCACTAAGGGATTGCAGGAGAAGATGGCCATGAGAGTGATGGGATATACTGTCCCTTGGTGTCAGGGTATAACGTAATATCAGTACATCAAGATAATTAAGAGTATGTAAGCCAGTATGTAGGAGGGTGATCATAGCCTATGACAATATTTCCATTCATCGGTACACTGGAGCCCTCACGTGACAATGTAGCCTTCAACTCCATCATCTGCCTCCATAGTGCAAAGGGAACCGAATTGTTATCCACTTTTTCTCTCTTATTAGAATAGTAAGTTTTGTGATGATCTAGTCGCTGGATATCGGAACGAGCCGCCATCGGCTGAAGCGCTTAGATGGAGTGGATGCTTTCTCTACCAGGTGGGGGGTACTGCTCTCGAGGTTAGTCGTCTGGCTACTGATTGGCTTGAACGCTACTCTCGGTACATTATCAAGGGTCTCGGGCGCAAAGGTCTGGGTTCCATTATTGTGCAACGATATGGCATGATGATACAGATGGATCGGCTCCACAGCGTTGTTGCCCAACGAAACTAGCAACCCCAGCTCTCATGGAAGATTGCAGTCAGCTTACCCGGTCTCGTTGGGCACAGACAATGAGCGCAATGCAGGACAATGTCTTCCATGATGTTGTATTCGCGTGTCGCATCACTCTAGAAATTAGTCACAGCCTAAAGGTTTGGATCAGCTCGGTCTTGTATTGTGTGGAGGGCATGGGTGCTAGGTATAGCGTAAATGCGGGGGGAGGGACACGTGTGTAGCAGCCGCCAAAGTATCTGCGAAGACCATTGTGCAGCATTCCCGCTAGGCCGGCATGACGGTGCCCAAGCATGGCATTCTTGGTTGCTAGATAGACAAGTCGGAGGCTGAGATGCCCATCGTCTGGGGAGAAGCTAGCGGGGTTGGTTGCATGACGTCATCGCGCATTCTGGCTCACACAGTATATTCATATTCCGAGGGGGGCGGTCAGCCAGCTGCGGCTATGCTTGTCTTGATGCTTACGCGGCGTATCGTGCAATCAGCTGCTCTCGATGCTAATGCACGGCTAATCTTAGGGCTCGGATGCGACTCGCTGCGTCGCAAGTTAAGCGGTACCACAGTGTGCGTCATTGTGCACGACAAGAACAATCGCTTTAATCCCGCGCTCTTCACCTTCATCCCGCCATGTCATTTGCTACTCCAAAACTGTGACTACACGCGCTAGAAGAAAAACAAAGAGCTGGAGCATTGCGGGGTTTGCGTGGGTGTACTGTTGATATACGTCTTCAAGTCTGCAATTCGTCTTGTCTTTTCCTACGATTTGTATTTTGGGAGTGACGTGCGAGTAAGAGAACGGCCCCAGAGAAAGTTTCGCGAAAATGAACTACGCGTCATGGATAGAGGAGAAGAAGCTCAAGGTACATACTGGTGACACGCAGTCATGCGGTCAAAGCTGACTTGACATACCCAGAAAACCTTCATTGTAGCTACATTGGCCTCCACGCTCGTCGGCACCTTTACAGCGTCTCTAGGTCTGTGGGAGCGCATTGCGGACAGACGTGCTCAGCACCGACAGAAACAGCGCGACATCAAACAGGATGGCGAGATCAAGGAGTTGAAGATGCAGTTTGAGGAAGCCCAGCAAAAGGCGGAAAAAAGACAGGAAGAGATTGATCGGCTCCGGACCGGCCGAGGACGAGATGATGTAGGGAGTAACTTTGAGAGAGACATGATGATGGTGCAGAGAATGTACGATCAAGGCTATGGTCGGATAGGCAGTCGGTTCGCGCAAGGCGATCGTAAGTGTCTCACTCAAAAACAACGGGCCCAATGTTGACCTCAATATAGCAATCATCGAGAACCAGCTACAGGCACAAATCATAGCCCTTCAACAGACTGTGATTAGTGTACTCCAAGACGCTCTTTATAGCGATCGCCAACTCACCCGCGCTGACATGACGAAATTAATCAATGCCTCTAACGAAGCTCGCGAAAATTCCCTCGAAGCCCTCCGGCAAGCTCAACAGCGCTTGGGAGGTTCACAGGTCAGCAACGGCTCTCATCGATCTGCATCGCCCTTGCGTTCTCTCCCGCCTCCACAACGCGCTCCTTCCGCTGTTCTAGATGGACCTGAGCAACTATTTTGCCCTTATGCTCTTGATATCCAACGCATACCAAACAAGCCCTTGGCAGCCAGCTTCGCCCCAGGAGGCAGCTGCGTATGTCCTGCCTGTGGCCTCCAACTCGACGTCACTAGCGAGGACTTTTGGATGATCGGAAAACGCACGCCCATCACCGTCTGGGACAAGACAACCGGCTATGAATCCGAGGTATTCGATACTCGCGAGTTCCGTCTCGCACAGCGCTTCGTCGTCCAGTGTCATACACCAGATGGCGAGTATGCGTGTACAATCTGTAACAAAGGCCAGGAAGTGGATGCGATTTGCCGAACTGTGGAGAGTCTAGTCAAGCATGTGGGTACATACCATGATGCAGCTGAACTAGAACGCGAACCAGATCTGAGGGAAGTAAAGGTGGAGACAAAGCGGTTGAGTTTACCAGCGCCCCCACCACTATCAAGTGAACCACGACCGATACTCAGAGAGGAAGTGATTTATCGTTAATGATGCCTGAATTAACAGCTTCAAAAGGCTCACTTGTAGATTAGCGTCCTTCTTACTCGTCATGGCGGGGCGTTCAAGACGTTGTCTTTCTTGTATCCGAGATGAACATCTCGTGGGCTAAATGGTTGTACTTGCATGTTACTATTTTCCATTCCTTTTTTTTATGTAGAAATCATTTCATGAATTAACGGCCTATATACCCATGATAAAATTCGAACATATCTTTCACTGCTCCACTCGTTGTCTAGGGCAACACTTGTACACGTCGGGTCACATCTGCCGCAAGGCTGCCGCCATATCCGTCCTGTCTCACTGTCTCCACAGCATGTAAGGCTTATGCAGCGACAAGAGTGGTAACTCAGATGGTCTGAACGGTGATCGAAAAGCTTATTTGAACGTATCCAGCCTTACAATGGTGCCTAAGGACATTGTCGGAATGCGACAGGGTCCGTGCACTCATGTGCGTCACTAGGGTGTTGACATGTGTAAGGTGTCCTCAGCCGCGATACTACTACATGTCAACACTGAGAATAGCAATCTATTCTAGTGAGACCTTCCAGTCACGAATCCTACTTCATCAGCTATCATTCGATCACAAACTTGTTCCAGGCGGAGACGTATCAATGCTTGTTGTTTATGCCTACGCCGTCCGGCGGCTGCCGTCTAGTATCTCAACCGACACCAGCTTCATGTGAAGGTATGACCTCCCATACTCTGGAAGAAGCTTTCTTTATTTTGCCTCAATCAAGTTGGGCGCGGTAAACTCATACAGACAAAGGGATAGCAACAATAGCGTGTCCAGGTCTATCTACTGTCGACAACGCAAATAACGTTGATTGCAGCTCCATATCACCTGCAACGTTCCAAATACCTACGCTGCTAATTTTGCGGCATGTTCGAACGACTGAAGGCACTGTTGTGTTGCAAAACCAACTAGGTAATATGGTACATGTAGTACCATGATTCCATCAGCATGCCGGATACCAGGGCAATCCCAGTCTTCTCGCTGGACCTTCTCCGGAAGCTAACACACATAACGTGATATACTACAGGAGAACGGAGCTAATAGTAATCAAGTACACTTGCCGTTGGCACTTTGCGCAGTGTCCTCAGCATGACGTTCGCCGACACTTCGCCGCCGCCGCCACTACCGGCCCCACTCAACCATACGAAATTTTCCTTACTACCACACAACCTGTAACGAAGCACAACCAAGAAGTTATGTTCTACAGAGCGATACAGCTGTCAAAATTTTTCATGTGTGAAATATAGGAGGTGCAAATGCATCCTCTTCCATCCAAAAAACAACAAGCCCGGCTAGCTCAATCGGTAGAGCGTGAGACTCTTAGCTTTCACGTCCTTACTAGACACGATTGGTTATCTCAAGGTTGTGGGTTCGACCCCCACGTCGGGCTTCTCCTTTTTTGCTTGTTGCCCAAGTTTTTGGTTGATCTTTTGGTTTGAAAAGTGCCTGCATTTATGGTAGGTTATTCATATTCAACTTCCGGATCAGGCAGCTGTCGCCATGGCGAACATCGATTCATCTTTTTTTTTCATCGACAGTAACCCAAATATAAAAAGGCCGCAAGATAAGAAGCAGAATTAGGAAATCATTCGACTCTTACAAAAAGCGAATTTTCCCTCAGATTGCGTGGATCTGGCAAACACAGTAGATGTACAAACCTAATGACGTTCTTTAGTATGGTTGTCAGGATAGATGATGTTTCAGTGTCAAACAGCAGGGCCGGGTTGCAACTGCATTCCCTACTCAATAGTCGAATGAGATGGACAAGAGGAGACTCAAGAATGTGCGTTGTCACTTGCATACTGATATTCCTTTGTGCATCTTCAGCTCAGGAAGACTTGTTGATCGATTCATTAGCTTTTACGGTTAATTCACAGTGGACTGACTCAACTGAGTGCCTAGCGCCGTGGAAGAGATCTTGGTGACCGCTTATATCTTTTTCAAACACGCATCGCCAAACAGCCAATAATAGAAAATTTGCATTCATGAAGTTGTGATGCACCTAGTGATTTGACTCGAGGTTGAGGCGGCAATTCGACCAAGCGAAATAGGCATAATCTAAGTTTGGTGAAGGAACTTGAACTACAGTTCGCAACTACTACGTGTGCTCTAGAGTGGTCCTATGTGTGCCATATTGCAGCGTGTAAGAACACTGACAGTGGCGAACTATTCAAACAAACTTGAATGTCAAAAGCTGCATATTCAATAGAAGAGTTAGTGAATCATACCCCTTATCCATCGGTTCAACGTTATAGAAGTAACTTGAAATATTTCTCATCTTCCTCTGACTACCAAGATGTGGGGAAACGTGGGCTTCCTTATCAGCCAATTCTAGACCCACCTCCACATCTAGCCCCTCAGTCTTCTAAACAATAGCGTCGCTATTTTCAGATCTTCTCATGTGCCATACAGCCCATGCTGAACCTATCGCATCTGTTTATTCATACACCGGGAATCGAGACAGCTCACAACGACAGTCAACAAGGCTTTAGTGTGTCTCGCCATGCTAAGAGAGCGAAAAATGCACCCTCACCCCACCAACCGTACGCCACCAACGAATCACCAGCGCGCCAATATCGGATAACACACATTGTGGGTTTACTTGATCCACCTCGCCAATGCCTCTTACCATTTTGGGATTCGTAAAAGCTTAATTAAATAGATACGGCTTACGATGCACCAGACCCCTGCTCAGTTGGGGGCGCATATGCGCTTCAGGACGACAGAGAGCTGGTGCAGATGATTGAGCAACAGCCTTAGCTTGCCGCTAACATGAAAGGAGTTGCCTTTGCTTCCGATAGTTCCTGTATAAGAGACAGGACAGAGGGATCATTTACTCCGTTCTGGAGATCCCTTCGTCACCATGTCTTCACCATCAAGCCGTATAGCCGAGCTGGCAGCTACTATTGTCCATCACACCACTCGAGTAGACAAGTTTCTTTCCGGCAATAGCCTTCCACAGCCATCTTTTGATTCTCATGGTCCGGTCGATCTAGGCTTGCCTTCCGAAATCGAAGAGTCACGTGTTGCTGTTTTGCAGGCAACTCAAGAGCTGAATGATCTTCTCCAAGGTCCCAGGGAGCTGATTTTCAACCATCAGGTTTGCAGCTCGAACTGAGTAACCCCGTGACGGGCTTCATGCTGATTGGCGTCCAGCACAATATATTGGCACATCTTAAACTGATATCTCGCTACGATATTGCCCATAAAGTGCCGGTGAATGGCGAGCGAACATTTAAGGATCTCGCGGCGGAAATTGGTATAGATGAAGGCGCTCTCACTCGCATCCTTCGCATGGGCATTGCGTACCGTGTATTTCAAGAGCCTCGGCCTGGCGTTCTAAAACACTCCGCAGCTTCAAGACAGATTTCCGATGATACTCGCGCAGCAGGATGGGTTGCAGCAAATGTTGATGAAATGTGGCCAGCCGCCAAAAAGCTCGTGGATGCTTTGGAAAAGTGGCCGGAGGCTGCCGAGCCAAATCACACTGTATGCACATACTAAAAGCCATGCATACAAGAGGCTAACGGCTTCTAGGGATTCTCATTGGGACACGGGACTGACTTGTCTTTCTACCAAGCCTTGGCCAGTGATCCGGAGCGAGCTCGTCGATTCGGCGAAGGAATGAGCTTTTTCACCACCGGCGAGGGATTTTCACTACGCCACTTGACAGACGGATATTCGTGGAATTCAATTGCATCAGGTACCGTTGTCGACATGGGCGGCTCCCATGGCGATGCAGCTTTTGCACTGACTCGAAGATATCCCAATCTCCATCTTGTTGTGCAAGATTTGCCTGAAGTCATTGCAAATTCGAAAGAACAAGAAGGTCTGAACGTAAAATTCATGGCACACAACTTCTTCGAACAGCAACCAGTCAAAGACGCTGATGTGTACTACTATCGCTGGACCTTACACAACTGGTCTGACAAGTACTGTCTCAAAGCGCTGAGGGCGCTGACACCAGCGTTAAAGAAGGGTGCGCGGCTATTGATTGTCGATACAGTCATGCCACCTCCAGGAACTCTTCCCAATAATCTGGAGCGAAAACTTAGGTACTTATACCTAGCCCTCACATTTATCAGTAGCCATGATGCTAATCAACTATTCAGAGGTATCGATCTAACCATGTTGGAAATCGGAAATGCCAAAGAACGCAGCCTGGATGAGTGGAAGGCCATACTACAGGCCGCAGATGCTAGATTCAAGTTCCGCAATATGCATCATCCTCAAGGCTCGAATTTGGCAATTGTTGAAGCTGTTTGGGAGGAGTAGATGTCAATTGCCAGTAGTGTCTATCAACAAAGGAACTATGGTAGTACACGTTATTTTATGAGTCCACTAGTCAATCTGAACGAGAAGAGCTAGTATTCCACTATTAGGTGCGTCGTTGGAATTCTGAAGACGAAACCGTGGAACGGAAAAATACATAATAATCCATGAGTAGCCATGCTTATCGATAACAATGCTTGGCGTGAAGGCGACGCGTCGACGCGTCTAGTAAATCAATTAACGGATAGCGTATCCAATCATCAACTCCACTTGCGTCAACCTCCAGTTGTTCTTGTATTCAACATTGCCGTTATCGTTTACTGAATAGATCAAAATGGCGTCTAGACCAGAAATCAAGGAGGAGGATGAGTCCGGTTTCTGCAAGTTCTTTCGCAATCTAGAAGGAAAGGACAATGAGACGGTGCGCATATTCGACCGTGGCGACTACTACAGCGCCCACGGCGAGGATGCCAAGTTCATTGCGAACACTGTAAGTTTTCCCATGAAGGATTAGTATGTGATCAACAAATTGACATGGCGCCAGGTATACAAAACCACAGCCGTAATCCGCAAGCTGGGTCGAGAACCAGGGCTCGAGTCCGTCACAATGACCGTCACCGTCTTCCGCAACTTCCTCCGAGACGCTCTATTTCGACTTAGCAAACGCATTGAGATATGGCAGTCAACAGGCAAGCGTATGGACTGGAAGGTCGTCAAACAGGCTTCACCCGGCAACCTACAAGATCTGGAGGATGAGCTGGGCGGTCAGATAGAGAGTGCTCCTATAATATTGGCGGTCAAGGTTTCTGCCAAGGCATCGGAGGCACGAAGGGTGGGTGTATGCTTTGCTGACGCAAGTGTACGGGAGTTGGGCGTTTCAGAGTTTCTTGACAACGACCTCTATTCCAACTTCGAGTCACTACTCATCCAGCTGGGTGTGAAGGAGTGCCTGGTACAACTGGACTCAACGAAGAAGGATGTCGAGCTCAGCAAGCTCCGGACTATCGCCGACAACTGTGGATGTGCAGTGGCAGAGCGAGCAGCGGCCGACTTTGGCACAAAAGACATTGAGCAAGACTTGCCTCGGTTGCTCAAAGATGATCGTGCCGCTGGCTCTCTGCCTTTGACAGACCAGAAGCTGGCTATGGGCTCAGCTGCGTGTTTGATTCGGTATCTGGGCGTCATGTCTGATTCATCAAACTTTGGACAGTATCAGCTCTACCAACACGACCTATCACAATACATGAAGCTTGATGCTGCAGCGTTGAAAGCACTGAATCTCATGCCCGGGCCACGAGATGGTGCCAAGAACATGAGTTTGTATGGCCTTCTCAATCATTGCAAAACGCCAACAGGAAGTCGGTTACTAGCACAATGGCTCAAGCAGCCATTGATGAATATCAGCGAGATCGAACGAAGGCAGCAGCTAGTTGAAGCGTTCGTTAATGATACCGAGCTGAGGCAGACTATGCAAGAAGAGCACCTACGCTCAATACCTGACCTGTACCGGTTAGCAAAGAAGTTCCAACGCAAGGCAGCCAACTTGGAAGACGTTGTGCGAGCATACCAAGTTGTCATCCGGTTACCAGGTTTCCTCAGCTCTCTTGAGGCAGTCATTGACGAGCAATACAAAGAGCCGCTCGATGCAGAGTACACAGAAAAGCTCCGCCAGTACACCACAGCGTTTGCAGGTCTACAAGACATGGTGGAGACAACGGTTGATTTGGAGGCTCTTGACAATCATGAATTCATCATCAAGCCCGAATTCGATGAATCGCTAAGAACTATTCGAAAGCGTTTGGACAAGCTCAAGCGCGACATGGAGTCTGAGCATATGCGTGTGGGCGACGACCTCAACCAAGACACTGAGAAGAAGCTTTTCCTTGAAAACCACAAAGTCAACGGCTGGTGCTTCCGTCTGACGCGCAATGAAGCAGGTTGCATTCGGCAAAAGAAGCAGTACCAAGAAATCTCG